GAGGAGATTTGCATTTGAATTGGTAGACTGAAAGAAATTCCCCTCAGCAGTGTAGATGTTCCTGCTCCAGTCCTTGCACACAGGTTCTCCTGTTTTGTGTTTTCAAACCAGGACTTATACGCATGAGACACTCAAGTCACAGGCCTTTGGACTCACTGATTTGTATCACTGCATTTCCTTTCGGCTGTCAGGCAACAGATTATGAGACTTCCTGGGCCTCCAACACACACACACACACACACACACACACACACACACACACACACACTATTGCTTCTGTTTCTCTAGAGACCTTTGAATAATCTACCAGGAGGTAGGCTCTTTCACATGCGCCATTTTATGTAATCTTTGAAACAAGCCTGAGGTAGATGTTATCATCCCCATTTCTGAAGGTGAAAAGAACAGCACAGCAGGGCAACTTGGCTGAGGCTGCTCATAGAAGACAGAACTTCTAATTCAAATGTTCCCCTCATCATCTACATTTGCAGGGCCCTTTTAAATTTCAGTGTACTTCTTCAGTTTATAAAATAGGTAAAAATAATGGTAAAGGTCCTTCATCTACTATAATTTATCTCCCACCTGCAAAACTCTCTTAACTCTCTTCCTCTGTTTAAGAAATTGCCCTTTGCTAAAATTATTTTTTATAAAATTGTTTGTTTCTCCATTTCTCTCTTAACTCAGCTCTCACCCAAATAATTGAGACTGTTATTTTTTAATCAACACAATACTGAGCACTTATCACGCTATTCTTAACCCTCTAAACTAATCTGGATTCCTCCCAGAGTACATCTCAGAGATACTTGCCCTTTGTGGCTTTTCAGCTCCAGCTCCTTTCTCTTGGACATCGACCTGCGGCTGAATTCCTTACTTCCTCCTCTAACTCCTCTTCCCCTGGCTGGCAGGAAGTCCAGCCCTATTTTCTCCCCTACTCATTGACTGGCTATAAACTCTTTTATTGTCACACCAGGAGACAATTGGGGAACAGTGTTTTACACAACATTGAGAGAGGAGATTCTCAGAACAAGAATTGCAGTCAGATATGGGGGTCCAGAAACTAGCATTTGAATTATGCCTACAGTCCTTCTTATGAAGTAGAAACCACCTGTTGCTACTGAAACTGAAAGTCCGTATGTTCCTGGTGGATCAGTTTAGAGCTGTGTTACTAAATATGACAGCTACTCATCAACATGACCCCTAAGCGCATGAAATGGGGCTAGTGTCCATGTTGAAATGTATCTGGACATACTGAGCTAAACAGAATACACTGTCAGGTGGCTAGAGAGATGTTTCAGTGGCTGAAGAGCTCATAATGTTCTTCCAGAGTTCACAGCATCCACACTGGGCAGCAGACCTGAATCTCCACCAACTCCAGGGGAGCCGATGAAGTCTTCCACCTCTGGGAGCACTGCTCTCCTGTGGACAATCCTATCCCATATACACATAATTAAAATCTTTAAAATGCATAATTAGGGCTGGGAAGTGGTGGGGCAGGCCATTAATCCCACTTGGGAGGCAGGGGCAGGCAGATCTCTGAGTTGGAGGCTAGCCTGGTATACAGAGCGAGTTCCAGGACAGCCAGGGATATGCAGAGAAACCCTGTCTTGAAAAACCAAAAAATACAGTACAATAAAATACATAGTTAGAATTCCGCAGTTATTTTAAAATATATTTTTATTAATTCTCTGAGAATTTCATACGTGCATACAATGTATTTTGATTATATTCACCCCTAACTTCTTCCCTTAACTCTTAAATCTGGGATTCATCCCAGATCCACTCCCTACCCTCAGGCCCCTCCTAACTTTGGTTTTTGTTCTTTTAAAATAAGACATCAAGTCCAATTTGTGCTGCCTTCATATTCAAGGACATGAGGCCTTCCACTGGAGCCGTGGAGTTACCCTACCATGAGCCACACCCTAAAAGAGCACTGACTTGCTCTTCCGTAGAAGCTATCAACTGTCAACAGCCCCCCAGCTAGGGGTCAGGGCTCATGAGCTCCTCCTGCTTCAAGCTGGAATCTTGACTGGATTGACCTTGTCCCGATAACCACAGCCACCGTGAGCTCGTGAGTACAGCAGTCCTGTGACATCCAGAAGCTTTATCCAGTCCTCCCCAACGTTTGACTCTTACGATCTCTCTGCCCCCTCTTCCACAGTGTTCCCTGAGCTTTGACTTGGGGGTTCACTTGTGATTTAAACAAAACCTTTCTTAATGTGGCTCTTAAAACTCTTAAACTACATTTAAGAGTACTGCGTTGTATTGTATTCCTGTTGGACAGCATGAAACTTCGGGGCTAATGCATGGCTGAGTTGTGTCAATCATTTGAGGTTGAAAGCTAGTGCTGTGAGGCAAGGTGACCTTCTATACCATTACACTGGGATGAGTGTCCGTGTTTATAGCTGTATCTAGTTTTGGGGGCATCAGAAACAGTATTGAACTTCTAAGTCATGAGATAGTGCACTCTCAGTTTAGGTTCCTACATCCAGCAGTGGACTACAGTAGAGCCTTCATGGACCCATTGCGAGCATAGCAATGATAGGGTACGTGGCAGTCCTATAGGTACCTAAGACCCTTCGAAGAAATTCTTTTTCTGTGAAGGCTCTTCATGAAGTTCCCTCCTCCGTCCTAATTCACAGGATCTTTTCTCCTTTCAGCATCAGAGGTTAGACCCAAGCCACACACTTGTCATCTGCTGGTGATGTTCTCACAGTAAAGTGCCATCTTCTCGGTAACGCTGTAGAATTCACTGTGGCAAGGACCCTGTGTTGGTTTAAATGAAAATGGCCCCCATAGGCCTTGTTGGAGGAAGTGTGTCACTATGGTGGGCTTTGAGGTCTCAGATGCTCAAGCCAGGCTCAGTGTCACTCTCTCTTCCTGCTGCCTGAGCATCTGGATATAGAATGCTAAGCTACTTCTCCAACACCGTGTCTGCCTGCACGCTGTCTTGCTTCCTGCCAAGATAATGATGAGCTAAATCTCTGAACTGTGAGCCAGACCCAATTATATGTTTTTCTTTCTTCATAAGAGTTGCTGTGGTCGTGGTGTCTCTTCACAGCGATAAAAACCCTAGGACAAACCAACCCTGTGTTTCACATTGTTGTTCTTAGTATCTGTCAGACTCTCTGGTTATATCACTGACTAAAATACTGTTACCACTACTGATCTCTGAAGCAGGCAGGGGGTCGTTATCCTGTTTGTAGATAAACTACTGCTTTAGTGACTAGCATGAAGTTTTACAGAAGCCCCACAGCCTCCTCGCTGGCCTTCATTCCAGGCTCTGCCACATACATAAAGTGGTGCGCTGATTTCCTAGGCCACCAAAGTAAGTATCACAGGCTGGGCAGCATGAACCAGTGAGTGCAGTCAGGGTTCTGAAGGACATACATCAGGAACTGGGTGTCACTAGAGCATGCGTCGTCTGAAACCAAGAGGCTAGCAGATCCTGGCTCACCTCATCTGACTTTCTGACGGACTGCTGATGACGTCTGGCTTTCCTTGGCCTGCTGCTGCCTTTCTCCGGTCTCTGCCCTTGTCCTCTCCTGAATCTCTCTCTGCCTCTGTCTTCACAAGATCATCTTCTTATACAGACACACTCATTCAGTCACTTTTCCCATTCTTGACTCAGTTTCAACTTAGTTTTATCACTAATGATCCTGCTTTCAATTATGATCCCATTCTCGGGTGGTTAGAGCTGAACCTTTCAACTTACAGCAGACAGTAAACATAAGGTTACATGATTTGCTCCAAGGATTTCACCACGGTGAGAAAGAGACTAGAGTTGAGTTGTAAATTGTCCCATCTACTCGCTTGGTTTACATATGGACTGACAGAGTTTGGGTAGCAGAGGTCACCATGAATTTCGTCTATCTCTTACCTCATGTAAGGACTGAATGGACCCCACAAATAAGATTGTGCTCCCATTCTAACTAACGAAGACATATGACTGGTGCTTAGACTCTGCTCCATTTTTCAGGCATTTCTTCTTTCCCTACACTGAAAATATACATCAGTTTTTAATAAAAATAAAAAAAATTAGAAACAAAAAAGGTAAAATGAGGGCTGCCCTAATCTGAGAGAAAAGAAGGGCAGCAGTTTTCAGTCAGGACCTCAGTGGGAATCCATGCAAGGGTGGCATAGAATGGGCAGCAGCTCAGGTATTTAATCAAAGCTAATGACAGAGTTAAGTGCCAAATAAGGCCCCACATCCACTTCCTCTAAATGGGAAGGGTCAGCACTATCTCCTAAAATGTTCTCGGTCAAGTGACTTTGTATTTGCCCACAGTGAAGATGGCTCCCAAGATGGGCTGTGATAAAGATTAAGGATCCACCATAGTACAATAGACACACAGGAGACATCTCAAGAACTTAATCTTTCCTTTGCCCACCTCTACAAATATATTCAGGATAATACCTGCCTACTGATCTGTTCCCCTGACACATAAAAAGTGATTTACATTTAGTTTTAAGAGCCAGTAGGTGAAAAACAATATACCACTAATTATGTAAGAGTCAAATTTCCACATTCATTGATTCTGACATTTATTGAGCAACCACCCTTGCCAGTTGTGGTGGTAGAAACAAACATCTTCCCCCTCATAGGGAGTTCACTGTTTAATGAGGAGATAGTAAGTAAATAATAAATATATAGTTTAAAGAGCGACCTAACCAGACACTGTAGCACATGTCTGTAACCTGTACTTGGGAGGTAAGAGCAAGATGACCACTGCGCATCTGAGGGAGCTAAGGCAGGAGGATCACCAGTTCAAGGTCAGCCCCGGTTACAGTGAGACCTTGTCTCAAAACAAAGTAGACGGTGTTCAAAAACATCCTTTGTGCCAGGGACGAAATGACAAGGTGTGATGATGATGAGTCATGCACAGGACAGGAAGGTGGGTTTACTTCGGCAAGGTGACTCAGTGGCCTTTCTGAGGTGGCAATTAAACCCAAACCTGACAGATAACAAGAAGTTAGACAAGCAAAAGACAAATGGAAGGTCTTACAGCTAGTCGGATCCACAGGTAGAAATGCGGTGAGGAGCTGAAGCCGGACGAGTCGTAGATCGGACGTTCAACAGGTTAGAGGGACCACTTGGAATTAAGTCCAGCCTGCTACCACAGCCTGGACGCCCTTGAACATCGCCTTCTCGAACCCTCTACCACTGCCCACGCAGCCTACTTTTCCTGTCCCTCTTCCCTCCTGAACTCATTCCACCCGAAGGCCCTGTTTTTCTGTCCCCCTCAAAAGCTGGCCCAGGATCTTTCCATGGCGTCAGTCTTAGGGTCATATGTTACCTGTAGGAAGGGATTGCTCGACACTGTTGTTCTGGTTTGCTTTCTTCCTGTTCCTTATTACTACCATGATTTTTAGTTTTTGTTTCGTCTATTCCTTCACGCTAGAGCATGGATTCCAAGAGTTTACATCCCCCTATTGCTGTAACCCTAGACTCTTTAACACCCAAAGAAATTCATGATGGACAGGTAATGCAAGGTAGAGAGCTGGTCCCAAGCTTTAGACAAACTGGAAGGGCGTCTAGAACAGGTAGGATTGGATTTAAAACTGGAGAGGAGAACTGGAGGGGCACCTACAGACCCAAATCGGTTTCTGTCTTCTCCATTGGGTTAGGGCGTCCTTTTGCTCTAGGGTCCATTTCCACTCATCTTTCTATAATCAGTGCCTAGCCAAGGATCTGGTACTTGGTGGATGCTTGATATGAAAGATGCTCACAGCTAACCGTACCACACGCAGGAAAAGTCTACTAATTTGGGTTCAGCTCAGCTGGGAAAGGTGAGCAGGTTGGAGCCTCAGTAAGCCCATGCAAAAAAAAAAAAAAACAGAGGAGGCTAACCAAACAGCGCAAAGGCAGGGCATCAGTCGCTGCGGCTGCGCAGTCCAGTCCCTCGGTCCCGAACAGCCGGACGCCCGCCCGCTGCTCCCACCGCGCGTGCGCACTGTTCGCTTCCCGCCTCCAACAAGATGGCGAAGACCCTGCGCTGAGGGGGCGGAGTGTGGCCGCCGGAAACCCGGCCGCTGCCTTGAGGGAGCTTCGGGCGAAGGCCCGGGAGCAGCGGACCGAGGCTGGCGCGATGCTGTCCCCGGGAGGCGCAGCCGGCGAGCGCTGAGGAAGGCGGAGCGAGGAGTTGCCTTCCCAGCGCCCCCTATGTACGCCTCCCTGCGCTCGGGGCCGGTCGCCGCTTTGCCCGCCTCGGTACCACCCGTGACTCTCGGGGCCCGGAGCTCCGGCGGCGGCCGGGGCCGAGTCCCGCGGGAGGGGAGGCGCCCGGGCGGCGCCCGCGCTTGCACCCGCGGAGCGAGCGTCTGGCAGGTGAGTGCGGCTGCGCACGCCGGCGACTCCCGCCCCGGCGGCTGCGCCCGGCCCCGACCCCGGCCCCGACCCCCGCGGCCCGGCCCCGGCCTTCCGCCGGCCGCGGCTCGCCGGTTCCCCTTCCCGCCGCCTTCGCTCGGGCCCCTCGCCCCTGCTAGCCGACTTCTGTCCGCTCTAGGTGCGTGGGTCGTCCGGCCCGTTCCGTTCGCCTCCACTCTTCCTTGCTTCCTTTGGAAACTTTGGAGCCCCGGGAAGGTTGTCTGAGCCTGGTTGGCGGAGTTACAGAGGAGAGGCTTGTGGTGGAGAGGCCGGTGGGGTCTGCTCTTCTGGAGACGAGTCCGAGTAGACTGGGATGGGTTTAGAGTCTGACCCCTGCCCATTGGAGCCCGCGGTGGCAAAAGGATTGTTCGCTTCTAAAGCATTAATCTCTGTGGACATAGTCAGTTCTTGGTCTCAGCTTTTGAGACGGAGGCGCGAGCTTTGTGGGGCGTTAGTTTGTGTAGATTCATTGAAAGGATTGGGAAATGTTCCTTAAAAAAACAAAACAAACAAACAAAAAAAACACCTTATAAATGTAAGGATAACACATAATGGCACAAAAAAGGATAAGTGATTTATACTTTCTTTAGGTACTAGCCTAAAATGCATATTGAAGCTTTAGAATTCCCAATATGCAAGGGTGTGTGTGTGTGTGTGTGTGTGTTTTGGAAAGGACTGATGGAGAAAAGATTTTTAAATTAAAAACTACTCAGATTTCTTGTATTCTCAATTGTTACAAATGCTTAACACTTCCAGCTCTTGATAGTCTCTAACGTGGGTTTGTGCTCCCCTCAGCTTCCCCTCAATGGTAATGCGATTGCTGATAGGGAAATTTGCCCTGAGTAACTTAGGAACCTTGCCAACGTTTACAAGTGCAAACTGCCCATCTGAGTGGCAGTGGAGGGAGTCTTCCAGTAGTTTGTCTCCTCTGTCCCCGTACTGGGATGTATCAAGAGCCCCAGAGTGGGATTGAAAATACTTAGCCTTTGCCCTTCGAGCTTGCAAATGAGTGGCGTTTTGAAAGCGAGTTTAGAAGGCTGGGTCTTTAGCTCCGTGGTAGACTGCTGTTAGAACCAGCTCTCTTCATTCCCAGGGTAGTTAAAAAAAATTATGAAATAAAATTTTAGAAATAGAATTGCCCACTTTAAAAGAACTTTTTTTTTTGAGGCAGGCTTTCTCTGTGTAACAGCTCTGACGACCCACGCACCTACACAGTCTGGAACTTGCTCTCTAGACCAGACTGTCCAAGAACTCACAAAGATCTGCTTGCCTCTGCCACCCAAGTGCTGGGATTACCAGGCAGCAGAAGTCGTCGTTTTGAGTCTTGATACCTCATTTGTTTGTTGGTAGCTTTCATTCTTCAGCACTGGGAACTGCATGTTCTTAGATCCTGTCTGTCATTCCCGTGCTGGGCTTTCATTTCAGTTTGAAGGGAAATGGGGCCTTCTAAACTCCAGTGGCTGAGAAAATCTCAGCTAATGTTATACTTCCTCTGTTTCTCAGAGTCTCCCCTCAATATTATCTCCTTATTTGCTCATATTTCACAGGAAGAAATGTCTTGTCTTTGCAAGAGCTACTCTTTTCCATCTCTCTTTATTCAGAGATTCAGAGATGTTTGGAAACCTCCTTCAGTCTTTTCCTATCTTTCCCATACTTACATGTTTCCCTTGAGCCACCAGATACAACTCTAGGAGGCCATTCCAAATTCCAGATTTTCTTCCAGGATTCTTCCATCCTAGGACTCTGATGTAGTGAGGTAAATCTTTCAGTCTTGGTTTTGACTTGTGTTAAAAGTGTTCATTAGTGGCTGTGGTCATATTACCAGTTAGACTGTTCTATATCTATAAAGTAGGACATAATACTTACCTTGCACGATGGCTATAGAGGGAGTTAATATGTGCTAAGCATTTGACACATCTTCATCTTTATCTTTCTTGCCACTCCGCTGCTGTGGGGCCATCAAGATGGGTCAGCAGGTAAAGGCACTTGCTTTGGAATCTGACAACCTGAGTTATATCTCTAAGACCCACCGGGTTGAAGGAGACAACCAGCTCTTCCACGTTGTCCTCTGACCTATATCACATACGATACATACTAAATAAGTGGAATTAAAAAAAAAAAAAACTAGAGAACACTAAGCACCAAGTCTAATAGCGATTTCCATGTCATCTTTGGCTTCTATAGTCAATTTGTAAATTATATAACACTCTAGTAGTAAAGGACATATTCCTAGGTTACGTTGCACTTCCTGGTTTCCTAATCTTTTGAAAGTTTTTTTTGCATGCCCAGCCCTCTTTAACTTAGTTCTTCCCATAATCTCTATATCAACTAGGCTGTGAATAGGATTTACAAAGGTAATTGGCAGAAGCATGTTTAGAAATGGCATGAAGTGTGGTTTCTTTAGAGTTCATATAATCAGTACTGAAAGTCCACTTTTCACTTTTTCAGCATTGTCCTCCTGTTTGAACTCAAACTTGCCTCTCTTCTAGTAAGAAGACAGGTATTAACCATGTTCATGTTCTGGTCTTCATTTACTGCCAAAGCAAGGGTGAAGACCTCTACCCATTCCCCACCATCCTTAGCTCTCCTGCGATTGAACAGTAGAGACGATCACGCTGCTAGGTCTGGAGCAGTATCTTTTGTCTGGAGGGCAGTAGGTAGGTAGAAGTGAATCCTGTCTACAATAAGGACTGGAACACAGCATGGGTTGGGTGAAATGGGCCCTAGAAAGGGCCATGAGCAGGTAGGGAGTAGAGGTCAAATAGACCGAGTAAACTGATATTTGGAGTGGTCTCTCAAAACAAAGAGTCATGTCTTCAAAAATGCCATTACACACACATTTTGGAAGAGTTCACACTGATCGATCTCTAGTCTTGTACTGTCAGTGACAAAAACAAAATCAAACTGGCTTTAAGAAGGGGATGACTAGATCCTGTTAAATGTTACAATAGGCATCGGGTGGCTCCTGTGAAAGGAAGGACATGGCTCCAAGGCTCTGCTTTGTTCTGCTCTTCCCTAATTCTCATTCTCAAGTCTGCCTTGTAGCAAGTTACTGTAGCACTTTCAGAAGAGTATCGCTTTGATATTTAATGTTGTGTTTGTTGAGTGTCATCACTCCTGACCTTCCTTCCTTGAGCACCTATTCCCACACTCTTTATTTGCTTTTTGCCTTGCTACCGTCTGATACCGTCTTGTCTTGATACCTTTGCACACTGTGGCCCCATTAAGTGTCATATTCTGTTTTTTCTGAATTCTCCTGTAATTATTTTTATGTTCTTAAATTCTGAAATGTCTATTACTTTGTGGCTTAGTGTTTGACCATATATAGAAAGAAAGAATGATTTTTGTGTCTAGCACAGAAAGAGAGGTTGTAAGAAAAGCAGAGAAATAGAAGGTCCTGTCCCTATATTCTTTCAGCAGCTGTTTCTGAGCCCTGAATTATGTACATTGTTCATGCCACCAAAACATGTATATTATGGTCATATAATCCATAAAATATGAATTTATTTGAACCTTTCCCAAGTTCTAGTAGTAATTTTGTCATTTTAGTCATCCCTTGGCACCCAACGGAGATTTGGTTTTGTCCCTTCCATGGATTGACAAAACTGACATAAATAACAGTATTTACATTTAATTTTTGCACATCCTCCCAAATACTCTGTCATCTTTTGATTATTTATAGTGTTGAACATTCCTAAATATAAACCTGAAACTTGAAAAGCTCCAAAATAAGAATTTTTTTCTTTTTTAGCATCAACATTGCACAAGTGGAAAATTCCCCTTATAACCTCATGTAACAGTGACCATTCAAAATGTGGACACATTGAAACTACATGTACTACCTTAATTTAGATGAATGAAGTGTGTGTGTGCCTCACAAATGA